TTACACCGGGGATCCCCACGGTCCCGTCCCGGTCCCCCCCGAGACCGGGGTGCCCCGGGTGCCGTCCCCCCGCCAAGACCGGCTTCTTCTCCGTGTGCCCCGGGCCTCTCCCGAGACAGGCGTCCTCAGGCCGTGTGTCCCGGCCCCCCACCCAGGGCTGGGGGACAGACCCCCCCTGCCACCAGCTGTCCCCTTGCTGTCGTTGTTCTCCCTGCTCTGTCCCCTCCCGCTGCTCTGGGACGTTCCCTGCTGTCGCCCTGGGGGGCTGGTGTCGGTAGGAGCTTTCCCGAGGCGGGGGATGGGGGGGTCGGGTCTCCCTGGCCCCTGCTGGGGTCGGCTTGGCTTTCGAGAGCTAAAAAACGAAGCTGGGAGCGCGGTGGGGAGCCCGTGCAGGGAAGGGCAGGCCTTGCCGGGATGGGTCAGTGACTCTGCTGGAAACTGGCTGTTCTCTGCTGCCAGCTTCTCTTCTCCCAAAAATCCACCGTCCTGAGGATGTCTGGGGGCCCGGGGTAGGCAGAGGGGCCTCTGCTTGGTGCCCAAGTGGGTCTCCCCCCTTGCAGCGCTTCGTTCATGAGAAGGAAAGGGCAAAGTTTGTTTACTTACACTGCGATGGAGTCCTGGTTGTCAGCTGGAACGGGGGGTGTTTTGGGCCGGGGGTACAGGGAAGCGTTTGGTGAGAGGCAGTTCCTTGGCCGGGTTGTTTATATCCCAAGTAGGTGGGAGAGAGGATACAGGAGCACAGAGGAGAGGCCAGATCCGTGTTACTCTGGGCCAGGGTCTCTATCGCTGCCTGGTGCCCGCAGAGTGGTCAGGAGACCGGGAGCTTCATGAGGCAGCTTTCAGCTCCTGGCAAGGCTGCTTAGAAAAATTAAAAGCTATTGATGCTTCCATGTATTTAGGAGAAGTTGTATCTATGTGTAAATCTTGCATCCTAAATTTATGTCCTCTGGCCCCTTTTTAAGTTAATGCTTTGATTTCCTTAGCTTCTAACAACGGTGGCAATATGGTTATTGGCAAACCAATGTGACTATTAAGTATATTCACAATTTAATTTGGCTTTTTTAAAACTTTTGAAGGAAATCCTGTCTTCTGAACAATGAAGATCTTAGACCCCGGCTAACTCTTAGACGCGCAAACTGTTTGTGAATCCCTCCTCGCTCTTCTGAAGCAGATGCTGAAGTTCCTTAGAAGGATCTTGTCTATTCACACACGGTGCCTGCGTGAGAACAGAGAAAGCTCCCAGCAATCTTGTAAGTATCAACTCAGCTGTGGATTTTAGTCCTGACTTTTGTTTATGGCTGTGTTAAGCAGCTGGCTGCAGGTTTCGGTCCAGTCCGTTGCTGTGCCAGAGAAGCAGCTGGAACGAGGAGCTTTGTCTTGTGTGTGCTCCCGGGGAACTCTTCAGATGTGTGAGCTGGTGGTCTCAGAAACGTAAGCTGTGATGGGAAGGGGGCGAGCTCAGTGTTTGGGGCTGGAGGTGTCTCTGATGCGTTACGCAGCTGGGGGTTTGTGTGATGTCAGGCAAGAGGTTTAATCTGTGTGCCTGCAAGTCTTCTTCTGTAGAGCTGAACTAGTACTCTTCCCTGTGTCAAAGATGCTTTGAAATTTCAGAATATTATATAGTTATATAAATTATTGTTACTGTGCAATGCCTATGCTAGATGTCTTGATGAGGCTTCAGTGTTAAGAGAAACATCCCAGTAAGCAGTTCTGTGCTTAGATCAGCTCAAATGTTTTCAGTTTGTTGTTCAATTTTGAACTGCATTACAAAAATGGCAAAGATGAGGAAAAAAACCCTGTTGTTCTGAAGTGAAAGCAATCAAACCTCTCAGCTGATGCTGAGTCTAGAGAGCTCTGCCTGCTCAGCACTGAAACTGGAGCATCTGGGGCTTTTATATTTAACATATTGTCCAGGAATGTGCAAAGGGAGCTCCTGGGACATGCACTACTTACGACTTTTTATAAGCTGTTGGAGCCAAAATATTCCTGGAAAGCAGTGGTGTGCTGTAACTGCCTGGTTTTCCGTCTGCGCCTGTTTCTTTGTGGAGGCAACATTACTATTTGTTTTAAAAAAAGGGAAAAACAGGCAATGCTCTAAGAAGGTAGGACAGATGTATTTATTCATGCTTGAGGTGCCCTACAGAAAGTATACAGCAGAGCAGCAGGGACAGTCCGAAAATGCTTAAGCTATGGTTGGGCTCTCACTGCTTATTAATTAGCCTAATTAGTATTTAAAAGGATCTCTTGGGGGTGAAAGCAGTGTTAGCCAAGAAGCTTAGAAACTGTGAACAATTTAGGGGCCCACCATAGCCTGGGATAAAAGCAGCAGCAATAAAAGCAGAGAGTGAGAGCCTTGACCTGACTTTCCTCACCATCACCCAGTGCCGAGCTTTCTTCATAATAGGGAGATTTAATGTGCCAAACTCTGCGTGTTGGATCTGTGGAGCTAAACTGTGACATAGTACCCTGTAAAAACAGTTTACTCCTGTGTACAGTGGCAATGAGAAAAACAGTTGAGCAGATAGTCTACTCTAGGATTTCTGTAGTAGGGCTTTTGTAAAGGTTTTTCTCCCGTGAGGAGTGATTTGAGACTGACTTGTTGACAAGTTCTTTTCTTTAATCCAGATGAAGACCTCAGTTTTCCTAGCAAAGTCCTTAAGGTAACATAGCCTTAGCATGACTAGCAAAAATCATCAGTGTTAGTAATGCCGTCATTGCTAAATCCTCCAAATTTGTATAGCATCAAATAATCTGGAGTCTGAATTGGCAGTTTGCATAATGATTGATTGCTTGTCATCTCCTCCTGGGCATGGTGTGTTTTGAAACGGATAAGCGCGCTGTCAGGGCCCAGCTTAATCCTAAAGAATGCAAGACAAAGGGGAAGTTGTTTAAAAGAAGATACTTTCCCTTTGGAGCCTGTCAGCTGGCTCCACCTACAGCTCTGCTGTTCATTTATTGCTCTGGAGCCTGACTCTTCTTCCAGCTGCATTGAGGAAACATCTTCTGAAGGTTACAGGGATTATGATGTCTTAAAAATAGTCCTTTTAAAACATATCTCTTCTGATTCACACATCTACTGAAAGGAAGCAGCAAAGCTGGAGTAGTCAGAGAAGCCTGAAACACGGGCTGGATTCCCTCTCTATGCAACAAGCAAGAACAGCGTGAGTCCTAATGCAAAATATTTCTGTAAATAACTGAAATACTGAGTCTGAGCTCGAGAATCACTGAATTTGAATGTTAGATCCTTCTCTGTTGATCAACAGCTTGCTAAGGTGAGACTGGTGACAAATGCTTGACTTGAGGCCTTCTTGTTCTCCAGGTGCCTGAGCGGTGAGCCATGCTGGGCCGGAAAACAGGACTCCCCCACAACCTGAACAGCCACCGCCAGCTGAACCAGTCCTACCAGGAGGCTGTGCCCCTGCGGACCAGACCATCCAAGGAGACAGATGTCAGTTTGGAGGTGTTCAGCAGCTCTACGCCTGAAATCAAACAGAGCCGCACTAGAGCCCAGCAGATGCGGGATAGGAAAGGTCGCAAAGCTGACCTCAAAGACTCTAACGGAAGAGAGGCAGAAACAATTACCTTTATTTCTGGTACAGCAGAGGCTCCCCCAAACCAGAGCTTTTGCTGTTTCTCTCTGTCTCAGGCCTGGAACACATATAAGGCTGTTTTCTGTTGTATAGTGACCTGTGGGGGCTGCTTTCAGGACTGCAGTGTCTGTATCCCCTATCCAGGGCCCACCGAGACATCCACTGATGATGGAAAGAACGGAGATTATAATGGGCGACTGCCAAACAGCCCCGCCAACGTCTCTCCCACTGAGAAGAATGGGAACCAGATCAAAAAGTCCAGCATGGGTAGCAGTTTTAGTTACCCAGATGTGAAACTGAAGGGCATTCCTGTCTATCAAAACAGGAGCCCCAGCCACCACCTGGAATCGGATTCATGCTGCAAAGAGCAGCTGCCAGAGAAGCCCTTCAGGAACAGCATAGAAAAGCCACCACTTCCCAGCAGCCACCGGAGTTCAGAGGAGTATTATTCCTTCCATGAGTCTGACCTGGACATCAGCGAGCTTAACGGCTCCATGTCCAGCAGGGAGATCGATGTCCTGATCTTCAAGAAACTGACAGAGCTCTTCAGCGTCCACCAGATCGATGAGCTGGCCAAGTGCACATCAGACACTGTCTTCCTGGAGAAGACCAACAAGATCTCGGACCTCATCAATAGCATAACTCAGGACTACAACCTGGATGAGCAGGATGCTGAATGCAGGCTGGTCCGAGGCATCATACGCATCAGCACCCGGAAAAGCAGGGTCCGGCCCCATATTTCTATCCCAGCCAGCCAGAGCCATGAGGAGAAGTCCAGCAGAGGCAACGCACCAGACAGCGGTAATGAAACGATGCTAGAGTCCATGGTCATCAGCCAAGATGGTACGTGTGGGTTCCTTGATGTTACCGCTTCAATACAAGAGGGTTATTTTATCAAAGCCATGGAGACACGGCAATGGAGCAGGGTTAAAAGCTGATGTCTGTCTTCAGGCTGGGCTTATTTTTCTGGAGTGTCTGAATGGAGGTCCTTAGGTATTACTGGAGACCTCTGCTTCTCACCAGTCACAGTGTTGTGGCTTTCTTGATAGTATCTTTCACTGTCAGTGGAGTTTGTGCTGAGCAATGTAAAGGCTTATTCTGCTGCTACTGCAATGATTCTGGCTTTCCTCCACACCTCTAAGCTAGGCAGAAAGACTGTGAGTCAAACTTAACTGGTATGACCAGACAAGCTGGCTTGTGCCAGAGAATGTCCAGTTACTAAGCTGGCTCTCTCCTTCATGTTCTACCAGCGCTCTTTGCTAATGCCACCCTTAGACTACTGTGACAGAGTGCCTCCTTGGAGCTGAGACTTCCTCTACACAGTGGGGTGATGAGCAGCCAGTAAATATCCCTGCAAAGGGAGGGAAGCGCTGCTGCTACAAGTGCCTTATGGCTGTTTCAGGGATGCTTTTCTCCTTGTGTGGAGCAGCCCGAAGTGACTGACCTCCAGAACACATTGTAAGAGAGTTTGTTGTAGAAAGACCTTGCAAAGCTCAGTACGGGGGTCAAGGAGACATCCAGAAGTAACAGGGGAAACCCAGTGGCTGTTGTGCTTCCCAGTTTAGCAGTAAGGCTGCTGTTTGCTTCCTGGTATTTAGGGACTATAAAGCTCAGATTACCAAGACAATGGTGGAAGCAATCTGAAGAATCAGACTCTACCTCTCCTATTACCTGAGGGTGGTGCCTTCTGAAGGAGAGCCCTGAGTGTTCCCTGACAGGGATCTTTACTCCTGACTCATAGCTGCCCATCCTTTCTTGTCTCAGGCCCTCTTGGTTTTCATTCCAGATTTGGCTGTACAAATATCAGAAGAAACACCAGCAGATGTGATAGCCAGGAATATGAGGCGGCACAGCAGCGCAGGTAACGTACCTGACCAGGGTCTTAGCTGCAGTGCGTCACAGGAGTGAGGGGAATTCCCTGAACTTCCCGTATTATGTATGCCTTCAGTTTTCACCATCTGCAAAGGCTGAGCTGACACCTGCCTCTTAGGTTACAGTAAGGGGTATTGTTCTCTTGAGCTTTGGGAGTGAAGGGAGCTCAGAAGACTACCTGGGTTGGTGGGTCCTTCTGCAAAAGAATGAAACCCATGTATGGAGTGATCTCTGTCCAGGCAAGGTACTTGGCCTTGTAGCTTTCAGTCTCTGGGTGTCTTGACAAAGTTTGGGGCTGTATTTGGGGTGTGACCAGCTAAGGTCACAGCTGGGTTATACTGGGAACAAAAGGAACTGTACAAAAGGGAAGCAGGGGAGAGTGATGGGCTGTCCCTGAGCTCTGATCTTTGTGGCATGCATGCTCCGCTCCAAAGAGCAGCCCAGGGCTAAAAGACAAGTTTTCTCCTGCATAATAACAGATCTGTCCTAGAAGATGGCTACAATACAGGCAGGGTTGTTCCCTGCCTGTGGGCTTTGTGTGGCTTTCTCCTCCCTCATGATACACAAAGCCTTTTGTGGCAGTTGCTTGCCTAAGTGCCAGGCACTCGGCTGCTATAGTTCACGTTGTCTAATGTCACCATCTCTTCTCTTTCCTCTTCAAGGCTCTCCAACAAGCAGAGATTCCTCTTTCCAAGACACAGAGACTGACTCATCTGGAGCACCTCTGCTTCAGGTGTATTGTTAAGGAAAAAGGACCCAAGCAGCAGGCAGGCATTCCAAGGCTTTGCTGCAATCAGATTTCTCCTCTTTCAATATGGAATGTGCTATGGCACTTTTTTTTCCCCCAGTATACCCTGATCCTTTGTTGAAGCCAAATTTCTCCTGCTGTCTGAATTTCACTGGATAATTTTTTTTTTTTTTTTTGGACAATATAGAACATCAAAGAAGTGAACTGTGGAGCTAATGAACTCGGGGGGTGGAATGTGTGCCCAGGGAGGAGAAGATGGACGAGGAAGTATCAGATAACTCGTGCCTCTATGGTTTCCGTACTTCATGTTTAGCTTCAATAACCTCAGTGGCCCAGCCCTTTCCCTGCTTTGAGGATCTGCTGTACAGTTTTTGCTTTCTGGCATTGCGTAAGTTAACTTGGGTAGGGAATAACTGGATGGTGTCTCTGTGTTTGTGCCGATGCTGAGGTGAAGGCCAAGCACCTGCTCTGTAGGGACCCAAATCTCTATTTAAAGTGGCTGGGTTGGTCCCAAAAACGTTAAGTCCTCTATCAATGGTGTTTGCAGTAGCCAGATCTGCCTCCTTCCTGCTGACTCTTAGTGGTGTCATCTCCTGCTGCCTTGTAAGGAGAAGGTTCAGGTAATGTGGTTCGTTTAATCTTTGGCCTCTTAGCGTGTCTCTCGACATAGTGCCAGTTGCAGAGGGGCGGGATGCCTGGACAGCCGCCCCACTCTCGTCTCCCAGGCAGACCATGGGGATCAGCTTTGCAGTCACTGCCAGCTTGATGTGAACTGCGGGCGTGAGCTGTTACCAATTGCACGCATTGACCTGTGACTTGCATGCCAGTCAGCTCTTCCTCACTCATCTGCCAAGCCCTCTGCGTTTCCCCGTCACGCTCGGTGTCATGCTGACTGCTGGGCGAGCCTTGAACTTGAGTTATGGCAAGCGAGGGAAATAGCCGATTCATTTTTAAGTTTTTGTAATTAAGAATTGGGCTGTTTGACTGTTCTGCTAGAAACTGCCTTAAAAGTGGCTTGCTTCCAAAGGAAGGCCTCCCCTGAGAGTGTCTCCAGAGGGTCTGTGAGGAACTGCTTGGTCCTGCCTCTCCCCTGTGGGTGCTCAGCGCCTTCTCCTACCCTCTGCTCCTCTCTAACAGCCAGTCAGAAGCAGGAGATGTGGTATTGCTACCCTGAGGGCACGATGCCAGGTGACCTTGAGGGCTGCAGCATTGCAGCAGGAGGAAGCTGTATCTTACTGGTGTTGCCACTTGGTTGTTTATCATAAAGTAAACGTGAAGCCACCAGACTTGTTTATACATTCAGGTGCCCTTGGACATGAACAGAAAAAGCTTAGTTGAATTTACCACCCATAGAATAAACATACCCACAGTTTTCTGGGGAGAGGGAAACCAAAATAAGCCCCATGCTTTGGTATGGACCATGTTTTTGTGCCTTAATTGAACTGAAATGTGCCTCTATTTCATAGCCTGTGATTACTCTTCAAAAGGTTGGGTAGGGGGGGAAAGGATTTAATTCTTCACATGAGCAGTCAGGCTTATTTAACCAGCCAAAGCCCTTTGAAATGTACAGTTCAAGTCCCTGTTAGAGCCTATTTTTTTAAACTGCTTGCGTTTCAGAGCATGCTTTCATAAATCACGGACATTATTGAGACCACACCTTGAGACACTGACAGAGAGAGATTTTGAAAATAAAGGGGAGAGACTGAGACTTGGATTTGGCTTCCCCTCCCTGCTTTGTTTTTAAAGCTGTCGGTTTGTGAAAACCCATGTTTGTGCAAGGAAGAGTCTTGAAGCAAGGCCAGCCCAGGACTCCCAGACGAGCTCTGTTTGGTCACCTCCTTCCGAATGCAACATGTACTGATGGACCCATTTGGCTTCCTGCTTCTGAATGGATTTGTACATATATATTTGGACAAGTTTACTTAAACCTGTGCACTGAGGCGTCAGCATGGGTCACGCTGACACGTAGCTCTGTGGTCTGTGCACTGGAGACGAGGGGTGAGGATGGACTTGCAAAAGCTGCCAATCGCTATTACAGATGCAATAGCACATTTCTAATGTTTAGTCTGTGTACGAAGAGTGAATGTGTATGGATTAGGCTTGCAAAAAAAAAAAACCCAAAATCTGAAAACCCCCCAAAAACTCACTAAGGAAGACTGTCAACTTGATGGTCCTTGAAGCTGGTGCACCTGTGGTGTCTTATGGGATTCTTTTGCACTCCTTGGCCTTAAACATCTGATTTGGTCTTTTTTATAAAGCAAAAGATGTGCTCTTTACCTGTGCTGTGTCTTTTACATTCCTGCTTGCATCAGTTTGGGGAAGAGCATCCCTCAGTGGAGGGAGCCTGGGCCAGGCAGGGGGGTTTGCACAGGGAGTTGCAGATCCCTGCTTTCCCAGCAGCACATGGACAAAGATATTTTTGTCCATTTGGCAGCGCTTGCCCATGCCCGGGGGTATTGTTCAGACAGCTGAATGCCGGGCTGGTGCATGGGATACGGGGAAGCTGGGTGCAAATAAAGGAGCCTCTGGTGAAGTGCCTGTTTGCATGCAGGGAAACCTGGACCTTCCCTGAGGGGTGATGCTGGAATTGAGCTCTGGAAAAACTGAGCCTGGGGGGAGAATTTCCAGCTCATTCCCTGAGGTGTAGACAGCTGTTGCTAGAAAATGCAAGAATTGCTGCAGAGCAGCTACTGTGCCTGATGGTGGGGCAGGATCTGCTTGGGGAGGGAGGCTGGCTCAGTCTCTGCCCCTGTGACTTGAAGGACCAGTTTGCACTTTATAATTTCACTACAAAAACTCAGCCGATAACCTGCAGAGCTCCATTCCCTGCTACTGACCTTCCCTCACCCTGCCCCCAGGTGCACAGGACCAACTCTCCTGGTGCCCCTGCAAGGGAGGAGGGTGGATGGTGCGAAGGATTGGCACTAACCCCTCCTTTTTTTTTTTTTTTTTCCCCTTAAATTTGGTCTGTTAAGGACTTGTGATTCTTCTCTAGTCTGTGCAGACAGGCAGAAGACTGAGCCCAAACTTGAGTCCTTCTGTGCGTGATCCCCTGCCTGTTCTGTCCTGATTTTGTTAAACGAAGACTGAGTCCAACCTGGCCGGCCACCCTTTGGCAGCAGGCAGAGTCCACTGCAGTTGTGCGAGAGATGTGTTTTCTGAAAGGATTTTAAAGCCATGAACAGGTAAACACTGCCTTCTTTCGGCTAGGAAGGGTCTCCAGAGGAGATGTTTTTGTGTCTGGAGCCCTCAAACCAGCTCATTGGGGCCCCAGGGAAATGGAGCAAAGGCTGCCGGCAGCAGCTTGCTGGCGAACCTCCAGCACCCTGCGCAGCGATGTGGCTGTGTCGCTGCTGTCTCCGCTGTCCACACCTGCTCCTAAGCTGCCCTGCTAGTTCCCCCTGCAAGTCTGGGCCACGTTTTTCTGCCTTCTGCTTACCCTTTCTCTCTAAATTTCTCCAGTGCTTTTCCTGGAAGAGGTTAGTCTTCCCACAGCACTCATTCAAGCAGTTGGAGTGACCGAGTGGCTGTAACATGCAGTGTTACTTCTGCTTCTCTTGGGCACGTTGAATCCCTGGGGAAAGGCTGTTTCTGGAGGCTTCAGGCCTGATCACTGCTCAGTGCAGCTCTGCTGGGTGCACAGCATGGGAGCTCATCGCCTGCCCCAAAGCGCTGCTTCCTAACTAGCTGGCTGCTTCAAAACTGCTGCTGCAAGGTTACTGCAATTTCTGGAAAGATTTGAAAACTTTGCACTTAAAACTATGATGCTTATAGTTGATCTGTCTCTGCTGTCAGTCCTGTGTTCAGCAACTCTCCTGCTTTTGAGTTAGCTGCATGGATCATGGGTTTTCTTGCTCACAGCCGCACGTGGAACGAGTCCACAGGGTTTTTGTCTGCTGAAGGTTATGTTTGCTGTCAATCCAGCTGTCTGGCCTGTTGCTGTAGTGGTTTTTGCTCTGAGCATTAGTGTTGAGTGTTCTGCTGAGTGATCTGGCAGAAAGAATTGGTTGCCCAAGTGGAGATCTTAGAAACACAAGAGCCCTTTACCCGGCCACATGCATGTAAACATGCTTTTTTTTGCACAGGTACTTCCTTTTGGGAGCCTGACTCAGCACCCTCCTTTTCCTGAAGACATTGTTTGATTTTATTGGGCTTGGTTTTGCCAGGGGACTCTCCAGAGACTCATACTGTGTGTGGGTCCTCGCTGTGCCACAAAGGTGCTGCTCTTCAGTAGTGACTTTAGTACAGGATCCAATGTACTACACGGCCCAAGCCACCCTATTGCCAGGGATTCTTTGAGTTTCGGTTAAGGCAGATCAGTAACTCTGCTGGGAATGGATGCATGAGGCTTTGAGTGTTTAAGAAATTAATCTTCCCCATCCACACCCTGAACTACTTAATTATTTATTTCAGCGTGGCTTAGAAGTTAGAAAGCGGATGGATTGACCCTAATTCCTCACAGCCTGGTCCTTAGCAGTAACAGAGGAGCTGAGGCTTCTCCTGAAAGTAAGCTGTAATGTTAAATACCTCATGCTTCTGTTTCCCTCTTTGGGGTTTTGCTGTTTCATTGCTCTTTCCAAAGCAGTCCTATAGTCTGGGCCGTTTCCCAAATGGTCTGAGCTGCAATATTCATTAATAAAAGCTAAGTCAAGAGCTGCTGTTAGGGGAAAAAAAAAAAAAAAAAAAGACTAGGGGAAACTTTGACCATATGGAAAGCCCTCTGCAGAGCCTGTATGCCTTCAAGGTTTTGCTTTTAAAGGACATGAGAAGGGGCCCAGCAGCGAGGGAGCCATGGCCCGGCAGGTGGAGGAGCTCTGGGCTGTGCTGCCAGCCGTGGCTCCGGCGGGTGGCAGCACTGAAACAGCTTCTCCAGGTGATTTGACAAGGACATGGAAAGGCAAAGGGACCTTCATCGCCTGCCATCCTCCAGCACGGCCCTCCCCGGTCTGCTGGGGGTCAAGACAAGGATGTATTTGTAGGGTTTGGTTCCCAGCATCCCTCGTGATGCTTGGTGTTCCCCTGCCATGGTCACAAGGACGAGGCCACAGTCTGTGGTCTCCAATAACTTGGACTGAGGTGGGGCTTTGCATTCTTTAAGCCACTTCTGCAGCTGCTCGGACCAGAGCTGTCCTACCCTGACATGGTTTATTCCAGGGAAAACTGCCTTTTGGAAGCAAAAGGGTGCTTTTGATTCACCTTGGCCTGAGGAAAGTCAGTGGCAGCTGGATGTTTGCAGAGGACAAGGCCATCAGGAGAAACACCTTCTGTTC